TGGCAAGAACTTTGATGTCACCGCTATCAGCATATATTTGTCTTATTCTATTAATTATCGCAGTTATATGGTTCGTGAGACGCATATGGGGGTTGGAGAGAAAAAATGAGCGATTGCGGGATATGTGGATCGTCGGATAATGAAGAAAAAATAGAAGTTAAATAAATTTATTAATTCTTAAAAATTATATGAAACAGTTATTATACAAAATGAGTTCTCAAGATAATATAATCCAAATTGGCAAAAAATTGAAAATGACGTAAAAACAAAGCTTATAAAATTTCTTCAAAGTGATGAAGAATCGATTTCTTTAGATATAAATAGTGCTATAGAATATGCCTTTTATTTATATTATTTGAAAAAAATAATTAATGAGAATTAGTTAAATATACCTTGGAGTATCACTTTTTTTTCGAACTCGAGAGAAAAAAAGAAAAAAGAGCGCGAAAGCATGAATGAAGCCGAGTTCTTGGAATATAAACGAAATTTCGAAGCTAAATTGGGTATTCCTACTACTCCGCACAAAAGAGAATTAAAAAATCGCACTTTAGCCCTTATTGAATATGCATAAAATCTAGCTAAGTAATAATCTCTGGTGGAGAGAAATTGTTACATTTAACTAGTCATTTATCTCAGGTAAGGGATGTTGCCTCTTACAATAAATGCTGGAAAAAATTCAAATCGAAAATTAATTCAGATCATAGGATAGGTAACTATAACCATTTTTGTGTTATGCGATTTTGGCATTGGAGCAGAATATTTAATCAAGAATATACAAAGGTAAAAGAAAATTGTACTTTTACGTATCATTAGGTAGATATCAAAAAAGTGATATGCAAAGGTTAGCAAAAAAATGATATATGAAAATTTTCAAAAAGTGGTATACAAAGGTTACAAAAAAAATGAGCTTTTACGTATCATTAAGTAGATATCAAAAAAGTGATATGTAAAGGTTTTCAAAATATGTGTCTTTGACTCTAGCTTCGCTATAATGCACATATGATATATAGTAATGCGATCCAATTTTTTGTCATAAAGCTAAAATTCTTAAAGATATTAACTATACAAGAAAGGCTTCGAAAACTGAAAAATATAGTAAACTTTTGGTGATACGCAAAGGCAGAATATTATAAGGAAAGAGGTAAGAAAAAATTTTGCTTTTACGTATCACCAAGTAATGATAACAATTCGGCACTACGTGCCTCATTCTAAGATAACATAATAGATAACGATTCGGCACTACGTGCCTCATCATC